TGCTTTGGGTTCTTTTGTGGCTTTTGTGAGGCGAAATAAGGACCTGTGAAGGTGCCAGGAGGCTGGCACTCAAAGGAAGTATCATCTCTTGGCCAGTGGCAAATGCCTATGGCAGGAACCATGATACGCAGTGCAAGAGCCCTGTGGAAGATGGACAGAGTGCCCTACGGGGACAGACACCCCAGCCTGCACGAGGTGTCAAAGCTACGTGTGTGAGGTTTGTGTGCAAAGGCTGCCTTCATGCAGAGCCCTCTGCCTGGGTGACACCACCTCCTTCTCCCGAAGTGGATGCACTTGGGGCTGGCAGCCGTTTGGGGCTGGAAACCAGCCCAGTGAGCAATGGAGGTGAGGACCTGCCTCCTGGTATCACAGCACCAGTCCAATGGCTTCCCAGCCATTCCTCATTAGCCTCCAACTGCCCGTGTGTGCAAAATGTTACACACTGGTATTTGTAGAGGTAAGAGCTAGAACACTAACTTATTTTCATTAATAAATCTGTATCTAGGGTAGCTTGCATTGGTGTTTGTCTCCTGTGTGGGGCAGGAGAGGCAAAGGAGACCAGAGGAGCTGAGCTGTGCTTTGGTTCCCACTGGGATGCTTGGATGGAGTCATATCGAGGGAGGCGGTGCTGCAATTGAAGTGTAGTCCCCTGAAGTTCACCCATACACCCCTGCACGAATGCAGCAAATGGTAGGAGAAGCCACTTGTCCTCACAGCCCAGGACCGCAGGGGGTGTCACCTCCATCCCCTTTACAGGGTCCGAGCGGGAACAGACCTAAATCTGCCTGTACTGGGAGGATATTTGCCCCCAAATCGATAAGGTTCAAAGGAAAGCAGCAATGTTCACAGTAGCTTAAAAAGAAAAAGAAAACACAACAACAATCAGCCAGATTAAACAGTAACTGGGTGATTGCAGTGGTTTAACCCCAGGCAGCAATTAAGCACCACACAGCTGCTTGCTCACACTCTGCCCCAGCAGTATTGAGGGAAGAGAATTAGAAGGGTAAATGTGAGAAAACTCGTGGCTTGAGATAAGAACAGTTTAATAACTGAAAAAAAAATTTAAATTGTAATGAAAAGGAAAATAACAAAGAGAAAGAAATAAAACCCAAGAAAGACAAGTGATGCAAATGAGAACACCACCAACTGACTGATGTCCAGCCCGTCCCTGAGCCGTGATGCCCCCACCAGACTTCCCCCTAGTTCATTGTTGAGTATGATGTCGTAGGTTGTGGGATATCCCTTTGGTCAGCTGGAGTCAGCTGTTCCAGCTCTATCTGGTCCCAAATTTTTGTGAACCTCCAGCCTACTTGCTGGTGGGATGGTGTGAGAAGCCTTGACTCAGCAGTAACAAAAACATTTCAGTATTACCAACACTGTTTCCAGCATAAATCCAAAACATAGTACTAGCTACTGTGAAGAAAGCTGACTCTACCCCAGCCAAAAACTAGCACAACAATTTTGGAGAGACTTGAGAAAAAGAGGAATTGGCTCAAATGAGATCATAAAAAAATTCATCAGCTAAAGAAAGAACATAAATATTTATCACTATGGGAGAAAAAGCCTTGGATCATCGTGGTAGTACCAGGTATGATACGTGTCCCCCTGACCCGGCACCTGGCGCACAACAATGGCACGAGCTGCCCAAGGCTGCATTCTTCTCTGCGTTGCTATTGTTGCCTCCCATTATGTACTTTTTGATGTGGCTCATGCTCAGAAAGTAGTTTGGGGCTTAGCTGGTGGCACAAGCCTACACGTCCAACCAACTATATAATTAAAAAATAGCAATAAAAGGTTAGATAAAACCCAGTTTTGGGATAGCAGCACATGCCTTCTGTGTGTTGTGGCTGTGCTGGACAGTGGCAGGACCCTGGACTGTGAGCATTCTGGTGTGCTGGGCTCTGCGTTAGTGCTCTGGGGTCTGGTGCTGGGGGACAAGGAGGAGCTGACCTGGGGGGCACTAGGAGACAAGGCAGCTCTTCCTCCTGCACTTCCCACACCGTGAGGGGCCACCATCCTGCTGGGGAGCAGTGGCTGTAAGGGGAATGTTCTGGAGCACGTCGTGCAGCGTGAACATGCTGAAGGAGATCTGCTCATAGGGCGACCGTGTCCCATTCTCATAGAGGCAGGCAAAAGCAATATCTGGGCCACCAGAGATGGAGGCCTCGTTATAAGGCAGCTCCATGTAAGCCAGGTCCGAGTAAGCGCTTGGACCTTCATAGATGATCCACGGCTCGGTCCAGCTCTCCACATCCCTGGGGAAGGTGCTCAGGTGAATCCCCATGTTGACCCGTGACATGGAGCTGGTGGGATGGGAGTAGAGGATCCACGTTGGTGTCTGGAAGAAGCCAGCAGGGCTGGGGTTCGCTGCAGGGTCCTCTTGGACTGAAGTGATGCTCTGGGCAGCACCATGATGCCCTGGAGTAGGACAGACTTCCTTGGGCTTGGCTGGTGCATGGCGACTGCCAGCGGCCTCAGGGGGCAGCTCATCACCCCCTGTCTGCCGGTCAGGGAGGTACCGAAACCCTGGCAGCATCCCACGGAGCAGCTGGTGAGCTGAGCCCCGAACAGGCATCATGGCTTCATGGGTGCTAGCAGGAACATACACGAAAGGAGCCGGGAAGCCAATGACGCTGCCATGACAGCCATGGGGGGGCTCAACCAGCCGCTGAACCAGCTGCCCCCCGTGGAAGACAGCCCCGTCATCTGTGCTGAGTGCCTGTACCCTGAAGCCCAAGGGGCTACGGGCATTGCAGTAGAGAACGTTGGAGCCGTCCTCCTCATCCACCGAGACCATCTGGCACTCACCCGTCTGCAAGTTGGGGATGAACTCCCCGAAGCGCCAGCCCCGGCCATGGTCATCACTGTAGAAGGCAAAGGAGTGAGGAGTGGTCTTGCAGAGCTGTCCAAAACACTCCTTGCAGTCAATGTGGTAGCTGTAGGCAGGCACCAGCAGCCGCCCAGATCGCAGCTGGATCCCATGCCCAGGACCCAGTGCAAATGTTGCCCAGTCTGGGGAGCAGAGACAGGATGGGGTAAAGAGTGACCTCCGCGGTGCCCCTGACATGCTTAGTGTAGCAGGGTCTTAAGAGCATCCACCCAGCCTAGCCAAGCAAGGTGCCCAGTGCTGCCTGCTTGTCCTCACTCATGGTTCTACCCATAGCTATGGGGCCTCTCCATCTCCATGCAAGTGATACAGAAACTCCCTCCATCCCCTCTCCCCTCTGCTTGAGGTCCTCTTCCACCCCATCTCTTTGATGCTTGTGGGCTTCCAAGCTCAAGGCCATCTCTAGACACACCATAGGTGGCTCCAGGAGGCCAAAACCCACAGTTGTCCTTTAGCCGGCTGTTGTTTTCACTCCTTGCATCCCCCTCTGTCCCCCTCCGCCCCTTCTGGTGAGCTACCTTTGATGGCCCTGCCAATGACCTGCTGCGTCAGGTCCGTGGCTGTGCTCCAGCTCAAGCCCTGGTCAACACTGGTGACACAGCAGAGGCGAGTGACATTTTGGCCAGTGACAATCTGGTAGGCTTCAGGTGTCCTGCCCAGCACCGTGATGAAGAAAAGGAAGAGAGTTCCGGTGAACTCATCATAGAGTGGGCAGGGGTTCATTGACCGGTGGTGCTGCAGTGTTGCCGTCTCCAGCACACGCATGTCTTCCCACTGCCCAGGGAGGAGAAGGAGGAGGAGGTTGGTGGTACTATCAACCCACTTCACCTCACCCAGCCTTCCCTCCCCATGCAGGTGTCTCCAGGAGCGTGGCTGTGCCATGCACATGCAGCAGAGGACAACCATTCAGCTGTCCCCATGCCCCCAGCCCAGTGGATTCCCCCTAGCCCCAGGTACATCCTCTGTCCCACCTCCACATAGCTCCCATAGATGGTGCCGCGGCGCAGCACCAGCACGTTGGCGTGGGCATCATCGGCGCTCAGCCGCTCCTCCGCAAAAGCCAGCAGCTTGGCCACGCAGGGCAGGTAGAGCAGGGCGGGCACACGGTACGTGACACCATTGGACTCCTTCTCGAAGAGCACGGTCCGAGCAGGGAAGTGCCGGGAGCCCATGGAGTCTGTGACAGAAAGATGCATCCCCACCCCGGTGGGTTGATGAAGGGGAGGGAACTGGCTGTTGGGCATGGTTAGGGTGTGTGCTAGGAGGCTGATTGTCCTTGGAGGGGTGTGGAGTTTAACTTGGTGGGCTTGGGGAATTCCCCTGGGGCATGGGCTGGTGGGCAGCTCACTGTGGGCAGGGCTGAGGTTGAGAGAGATTGAATGGGTGCTGGTATGGTGGCAAGTCACCTCTCAAAGGGGACAGGATTTTGGGTAACAGTGAATCTGTGCTACACTAAAATAAAATTAAATAAAATTAAGCTGATCTTCATGATGCTCTTCAAAAGGGATTTCTGGTAAATTGAGTCCAGTCAGCAAGGCACAGGGTGAAACCTGCAGTTCCCCACTACCATCATCAAGTAAGTGTTTGAGGGGCAGAGCCAGTTTCTGCACCACCAAGACCCAAGGATCCATCCAGACTCCTTGTGAGGTGGTCAGCGAGCATTTTGTCCTCAGTTTCTGGTGCCTTCAGTGGACCTAGTCCCACAGTGAACCCAGCCAACTCATTGTTTCCCCCTCCCCTACGGGGAAATCCTGAGGTGCACAACAAGAACTGTGGGAGCCCTGGCTAGGCTGTCCCTGCATCAGAAGGGTGCGAGTGGTCCCTGGTCCCTTTCCTTTGGGGACAGCAGGAGTGCCACAATGGTCACCTGTCTCCCGGTTACCTGTCCCTACATGCCCCAGGTTATCACTAGAGGAGGGGATGAATGTGCCCCTCCAGGGTGCACCTGGAGCAGCCAAGGGCCGCTTCCCCCTGTGTTATAATTAGGAGCTTTTGCTGATCAAACACCCCACAGAGAAAGCAAAGGCACTCACCAGGTCCTGCTCAGCTGGGGGTGTCCCTCTGTCCCTCACACCCACCACAGGGTAACGCCGGCTCCTGCAGCCACCAGCTTTCTACAGAGCCTGTCGTCTCACTGCTTCACTGCCACCCTCCCCTTGCAGGGTTCCCCCCGCCGATGGGTCACGGGGCTCCTGCGGTGGCGATGGCCAGGAAAAAGCCCTGAGTCAGCAGCGTCAGTGGCTCATACAGCACTGGGTAGCACAAAGGCATCGTTATCAGCCCAGGAAGAGGCGAGGGCCCCACGGCTGCCAAGCCACCTTGCTTGGACCCCTTGAGAGGGGATGCAAAGGGAGCCACAGCGGGAGGTGTTTGCATCTCCTGCCTCAGTTTCCCTCTTTCCACAGACTGGGAGAGGCCAAACCTCCCCGTCAAGGAGCTGCAACCCACGTCCACCATGGTCCACCCCAGCCATGAGCTCCTAAGCCTGTTGTCTGCAGGATCCCAGCCTTCCAAGCATCCCCAGCTGGATACAGGTCAGCTGTTGAGCTATTTTTATGCTTATTTGCCACCCCTGGTATCAGCTTAGCTAAAAGAAAAGATGCAGGTTAGCTAAAAGAGCTTATCAAAATTCATATGGCAAGTCAGAGATCAGAAGCTCTGAGGCAAAAGCTCATACTGAGGCTGCAGAACTGGCCAGGAAATGTTCCCAAGGATTGTCCAGGCTGAACACATGTGGCTGCTGTTTCCTTCACCTACTTACAAATGCCTCCTAAGCCTGGTTAATTTTAGCTAGGGTTGCTGGAGCAGAAAACCATAAAGGTGCTCTTAATCTCCTGTTGTTCCTGTTGTACATCACATGGGTTGCGGAGGAGTACTGGTTGCATTGCAGGAGATTAACCCTTGCCTCAGCTGGCTTCCCTAGCTACCTGATGGATTTAAAAGTAGCTGAGGAAAAGTACAGCTCTGCTTCTCACCCTGATCACCTCCGACAGCATCTCTCCTGCTTCCTGGGCTGAGCTGCTGCCCAGATAGCTTCATCTCCAAGGCGAAGCTGCAAGCCTAGTGACCCTGAATCCATTATCCCAGTTGTGCCACCCGGGTCCCTGCTGCCTCCCTGACTGAGTAAGTAAGTGGGAGGAGACACTGGCTAAGCTTTGAAATATTGCACCACAGGCCATGGTGTGTGCATCAGAAACTGGCAATGGGCAATCATTAACAGCAGTGACGCCAGAACCGTTGGGTTTGGCGCTGCCGTCTTTCTGAAAAACCTCCCCAGCTAATGAGCAAAGATGTCCCAGGCAGGTTTAATTATCTCAATCAATACAATGTCTTGCCCTAGAGGAGCAGTGGCCATCCCTTCCTCCAACCCTTCTCTCAGCTGGTGTTTGAAAGTTTGGCCAAAACAGCAAGGGGGATAGCCCCATGAAACCCCTACTGATAATGAGCTTCAGGGATGCTGAGTCCAAGGAACCATTCACACCCAGGGACTGAGGACCCTCACCCAAGAGAGAGTGATGAAAACACAAAACAGGCCCTCGCACGGGACTGCCAGGCTGTCCCAAGTGGTACAGAGGGCCCCAGCACCTCATGACATAAGAAAGGGACATCTCACATGCTGGTGGGGAAAGGATGGATGCAGAGGGATTTGGACAGGCTGGAGCGAT